GGGCACGCGTTCGCGGGAACCCGTGTACCACCCGAACGGCGGGGAAAGGGCGGCGGAAAAAATAAAAAAGTGATTCCCGAAGCCGGAGAACGCGAGCCAGACCGAGGTTCAGCCCGCAAAATTTCCACGTGCAAAACCAACGACCGACGAGGCCGCTTAATCCTCCGAAATAGTGGCTGCCACGCGGCCCGATAACAGGCCGTGTGTGGGCTTTGCACCTGCACTTCGTTCAGCCCTGGCCAACAATGGGCCGTGTACCCGCTTTAATGGCTCCTCCCAACCCGCCCGATCGAGATTAAGCCGCGCACACCTTGCCGATTCTAAGGTCGCCGCCTGTAATCGTGTATTATATTTAGGGAGGTCGGTGAAAGTGAGATCACCGGAACGGGACGCATACGTCGTTCGATCGATAGCGAAGCTTACGAATGGGAAGTTTGGGAACGTTTGGTTAATAAGAGAATTTGGAGACAAAGAATGAAAAGCTTGGAGACCAACGTACAAGAAGTTTAAGAGAATATATGACTGTATGCAGAAATTATTAGATAGGTTCAGTTATTTTTGGCATCAGAAGTTACTTATCTAAGTTCGAAACTAGAACGGCACTCGCGTCGGTTAATAACTTTCTTGAAAAGTATCATCGTTCGGGAGTAATTTCGTTAGAGTAGGATAAATATTTGATCGAGTTATATAATAATGAACGTGATTCTCGCGTTAGGGAATCAAGGAAAGATTAATCGATGTTAGTCGAGTAGGTCTTATTCTAGGAGTAATGTATTCGCTGCTTAATGGAAAAACATCTGCTCCGAGCTGCCCGTGGTATTTAGAGACGGCATTTAAATTCGATTTCCATTTAAGCGACTTAAGAAGAATACCGTCTAAATCTATCCGTATAAAACCGCTCGAGCTATTATTCAAAATCGCCGCAACACACGTTCCAACTGTGTTTCTCTGTTGCGGTAAATACGGGTTCACATCGATCGGTTCGTCGCCGACTCCTCGATAGCCGTCGTTGACGGTATTTTCGGAATGACGGTAAAACAGCGGAGCTTCCTTTGTCCGCGCCGCCGGCGGAGATTCATTTAATTTATCGATTCGCTTTCCGCGGGCCGATTTTATTTCGAGGGGCCGCGCGGAAGCTCCTTTTCGCCGGTAAGGCGATTAACGTCCGCTTTAAATCGAACGGTTCGCGCGAGCAGCGTCGTCGTCGTCGTCGTCGTCGTCGGGTGGCCCGATTACGCGCGAAAAGGAAACATCTTCCAAGTAACCGGAGATTGGGGACATAAGTGAAGGAGAGTTAAAGTAGAGAAACGTCGACTTCGAACGCGCGGCCGCGCTCTCGCGTTCCATTGTGCTTGCGCGACGAGACTAAGCTTCGAGAGTTGAACCCCTCCTCCGCGTATCCAAGAACGAAATGCCTTTTAACGAACAAGGGTCCCGTAAAGTACCGTCGCGAAGGTGGGAGAGTTCGGCGGGAGGGCGGAAGGTGGGGCGCGTGACGCAGAATTCCTCTCGAAAGTTTACCATTTCGTGCCACCGATACTTTTCGCATTCGGCCATTAAGCACTCTCGAGATAAAGCGCGGAGACGCCTGTAAGAACGCCTCGAACTTCGTTCGGCACCACGCGATCCCTCGCAACTTCGATTATTAACTTCGAGGGTATCGGAGGAACGTCGCCGCGGAGGGTAGGGGAGGTTAGAGGACCTACCATCGCGTAGCTACGAATTCTCTGCATGATTTTCTGTATATACGCATCCGTGAACCCTATTAACACGGGACGAGAATTTGGCATACGACACACGTAAGGGCTCGTCCGTCCCACAACCGACCGCCTACTGTTGCTTCTAAAACTCTTGCAAACCCTTGTTTCTACTAACTCATTGTCCTGGAAACGACATCAGACGTCTTTTGTAACTAACACTCTCGCTGACGCTATCGCGACTCATCCTGGACGCTTTCCGTGTGACGTGATGTGCACGTTCGATTCATACGACGTGTATACGAGTCCATTCGAAGCGAACGATTGACGGGTACACGAGTACTCGTTCCTTGAACGAATTTTCAAGGGTGGTTCCGACTCGGAATGGGGACGAACGCTTTCAAGGTCGATTCCGATCCCCCCAGGCGCCATAGCCTTTGATTCTCGGTTCGTGATTCCGTCCAAGGACGCTGAATCTCCCGCTATAATTGTCCCCTGGGGTGACGTTCTCTTGCTCACGTGCCGATTCCAGGTGTAATTATCGTAATTCCTGTATGGTGGACGTGCGCAGCGACATTTTCGAGGAGGACCCGTGTCCCGGAACCGGGAAGTACATCGAGGCGCAGTACAATTGCCTAGGTTGGTGCACATTTTTCTATCCCCATGGCGATGCTTCGCCCACCGATCCTATCTTCTCGCGCGATACCGATCTCCAAGCATTCTCCACGATTACAAAATTATATCTTCGAAAGAGATTGAATCGGTAGTCGCCGATGACCAGTTTAAAATGTACACGAAGGTAAAAAGGATCGTCGGAGGTTCGGTCATCGAGGAAAATAAACGTATCCGACGATTCCTTTTTCTCCCGCGAAGGAGGTTAATTGAAAATCTTGGAGAAAGCTTGGATGTACGAGCAAATATGACCAACGAAGCGTGTGAACCACGTCGAAAAAGTCTCTCTGTTCAACCCCCTTGAATGTCTACACAACGGTAAGAGAAAAGGGACAGGATATCCATGGTACAGTGCACTTGGTAAGGGTGTACTTTTAATTAACCGCGGTTCGAAACCCCTCGATATCCAGGTGCAACGACCAGCAGAACTGCAGCATCCTTGCGTCCACGGTACAATTTGGCGATCCTTGTCCCAACACGCACAAGTACCTCGAGGCGCACTATCGTTGCGTGTCCGGTAAGTAGAACACCTAGACTTCTCTACGCACCTCGCCTTTTGCAATACGTTTCTCTCCCTCTCCGTTTCTCACCGTAGTTGTATCCGTCGAACGGTATTCGAGAGACTACCGCGCAACGACCGCATAAGCGTCGACTTCGTTTATTTTCCACGATGCGATACTCGCGACGGAAAAACTCGGTTCCGCGCGTTCCTTTTCGTTATCGAGTTATCTATTTCTTCCGTCGAAAAATTGATATTGTTTCCTGTACACTGTAAAAGCACGTCCAGAAACGCCCGTTTTTGCCGGTGCATTCCGACGGGTTCGATTTCCATCTCGAGTACCGTTTTTCCGAACAAACGGCGATCGAGATTGGTTAACTTGCCGCTTTTCTTTTTGTCGCTCGTACGCCTCACGCAGCGATGCAACCGGAGTCGCGGCAAAAAGTTTCGCAGACCGCGAGAATCGATTCGAGTTTCCCGAAGTCGCCGCTTATGATTCACGTTGCCTACGTAACTGCAAGCCCCGTGTCCTCGATAAAGATCTCCCCGCGCGGCTTGCATTGGCTATGCGCTCTCGAGACAGACGTGGTATAAAACGGAGAGGCGAAAAAATCCTCGTGCTGCCGCGGCTGGCGAGAGAGGGAACGAAGAGAGAGGACGGGAGAGGAGAGACAGTGGAAGAGTTCGCGAAGACGTGATCTTTGCAATCGAGAAATCGATCGTAGGGGGATCGGTAACGCGAGATACACGCGTCGAACGT